GGGGGGGCGGCAAAACGTTCTCCCGCCTCCCTGAGGCTGGGGTGGTGGCCTTGGACTTATAGGGGCAAATTCCACCTCTAAAGGTCACACGGGAGAGGTCATTCTGGCTCCCCCACCTCTCCTTAAAAGTAAAGGCAAAGGTTCCCTTGCTCGAAAGCCAGTCGAGTCCAACTCTAGGGTTGCGGTGCTCATCTCCGTTTCGAAGCCGAAGAGCCAGCGCTGTCCAAAGACGTTTCCGTGGTCATGTAGCCGGCATGACTAAACACCAAGGCGCACCGAACGCTGTTCCCTTCCCACCAAAGTGGTCCCTATTTATCTTCTTGCAATTTCTTGCTTTCGAACTGCTAGGTTGGCAGGAGCTGGAACTAGAGACGGGAGCTCACTCCGTCATGCGGCACACTCGGGTCTCAAACTGCTGAACTACCGACCTACCACAGCCTGCAGTTCAGCGTCTTAACCACTTGAGCCACCACAGTTCCTCCACCTCTCCTTAGGGGCTCTTTAAAAAGTTATGGCCGCAGCGGAAGCTGTGACACCCGCGGAGGGGAGCGAAACGTTCTCCCGCCTCCCTGTGTTTTATCAGGCAACCGTTATCACTCAGCAAAGCAACATTAGCAGTCTCTTGATAAAACACCCCCTCCCCCCTTTCCTTTATTGCTGGTCTATTTCTATGAGCTAACTCATTCCAGTTTAAGGGAAACAAGTTGACGTCTATGCATCCCGTTCCGTTAAAAACAACGGCCGCACTGGCAATCAGAATTCACGAATGCGGCGGAATGAGACAGCCGTGTGGAAACCTGCCTTATTATATTCAGAGCTAAATGGGTGCGAGGCGAATAAAGAAAGGTGGCAGACATATTTCTTTGGGTGACGTCAGCTTCCAGTTAGAAGGACTCCACGGGATTTGGAGGCCATGTTGGAGAAGGGCACAGGGGCCGTGACGTCTCGCTGGTCGCCCGCAAAACTCGGAGGCCACGTTTGACGAAGGCAAAAGCGCTTCGAGCTGGCCGAAAAGAATGCGCGACCCGCTGTCATATTTAGTATGGGCAGAGAGGAAACGAAGCGGATTGGTTCAACCCGCCGGATGACTGCTTCCTTCGGAGTCGGCCGTGGGCGGTCTTAGGCCCGGCTGGGGAGCTGGTGAGTATGGAGGAGGGAGTCTTTGGGATGCAGAGACCGCAGTTCCTGGCAGGAGGATAGAGGGAGGCCGCTTGGCGGTTGTAGTACGGGAGAGGGGGAGAGAAAGGGGAGCAGTTGAGGTTGGCAGGGGGGGGGGGGCACCCATATGGAGGTGCAACTCCCCCAACAGCAATAACAACAACAGATACGAAAACTCATCCCCTACCCCAAATTTTGTTAGTCTTTAAGGTGCTACTGGACCAATGTTCCCTCTAAGCTGTGGAGTCTTGTGAGCAAAAATCTTACTTTGTGAGCTACTGGCATTTAAAGTTGTGAGCGAGCAATTTGAC